CCGCTTATCACATAGTGCCCAGGGTATAACTGATTTATGCCCTACGATCTTGATATAGTGACCAGGGTATAAATATATATATTTCAGGAATAGGTTTAATGCACTGACAACTTAAAAAACATTCACTTCTGAACTTCAATTTTATGAAAATAAATTTCGGCTAAATTTTGGATTTCGTCAAGGGTTTCGGGTTTCGGCATAAGTTTCGAATCAGAGTTTCGGACTTTCGGTTTCGTCAAAACCGTTAAAAGTTTTGGTCACATGTATAGCTCAGATGCATTCATTTTTGGTTGAGAATGCTAAGTCAGAGCTTAATTATGTGGATCCAAATATTTACCAAGAAGATTTCTTATCAATTTTTAATAAAATCTCAAGTTCTATTGAAGATGGCACTGATTTATTTAGTGAAGAAGATTCGTTTTCTATTCAGAAAGAACTTACAGAAGAACCGATAGAAGATACAGAAGATCTCTCGGAAGAGAATTTAGCTGGAGAAAATTCCGTAAATTTAGAAATCAAAAATCCCATAAATTTATCATCCAAATTAGAGCTTAGTGAGTTGTCGTCAAGTGTAATTGAAGAAATTATACATGGAGATAAAGATTTTGATGTAGACAAATTGCTTTAATCTATAGATTTTTGATTAAATAAATATGACCCCTAGAATCGGTCTTTCTTTTTTTTTAAAATATTATCTGTGAAAATTCGTAAGTTGTATGGTTCTAGTTAGCTAATAAATCGATTTTATTATTGAAGCTTTCCATTGGTAAGTATATATGATTTTACTTTTTTTTATTTCATTTGTGTATTTTATTTTATTGATTTGACTTTTTTATTATTTACATTTATTATAATCAGAATTCAAGCCTGATAAAAACCTATATTTATACTACTTTCTTGAAACCAAAAGTAGTTTTGTTACTGCAACTTTTGGAATCATGCAATACGTGAGAAAATACGGGTTAATTATAAAAGGTTTCTGATAAAATTTTTGGTGGGCACAATTCTATAAAATAGGATGAATGTGTTACAGAATGTGATTTATAATCATAAGCATTACTTATATTAGATGTATGCTGAGAAATCCGATACATCTTATTCTAGCTCTTTTTTTTTAGAGAGAAACAATAGCTTGCAGCATTTTTTTTAGAGAGAAGCAAATAAGATAAATTAAGTTTTATGCATATTCTTAATAAAAGTACTGTCAAAGCTATTTCTTTCCAATATATGTCGCTGTGGATGAGAATTACGCCTCAAGACATCTGTATGCAAAATACTGAAACTTGCAAAAAAGGGTCTGATACCCTCACAAATTAGTATATACTTTTGGGATTTGTATGTTATTATACCGGTTGAAAACATTACAGTAAATAAAATTTTTCGAATCTTAAAGTATTTAAGTAATTACTTTATTTTTTTATTTTTATTTATTATTTTTATTGACAGTCATACTTCCATATAATCACACTGTCGAGATTTATAAAAAGTGTTCTTATATAGAAGATGTATTTAGAATGTGCTTATATAGAGCATATAAATGTGCTTATACGGAAGTGCAGCCTGTACTTATTTATTTATTTGTTATTTTGTTTATTTTAGTTTTTTTTTTAAAAAAAAGAAGCTACTATATTTGAACCATTGTATTAATGATATTGATTACTTTCTTTTAAGGTTTAGCACCCAAGATTCCTGAAGATCTTTATCATTTGATCAAGAATGCCGTTGCTCTTTGCAAGCATTTGGAACTTATACTTGCCGCCCAAATCCCAAACTATTATAGTTTGGGTTTGTCTACGTCCAAATCTCAAACTCAAGCCCAAACTATTATCTCAAAAACTTTGTAAATAATCTTTATTTAAACAAATGGTATATATCCTTATAGCTATATATAATATATTTACAAAATATTAAAATTATTTTTTTAATTAATTTTCTATAAAAGCAATTTGTTTTTTGAGGGTTTGGGATTTGTTCAGGTTTTGCCAGCAAGTATATTTAGAACACAATTGTTATGATGAAGATGCCGAATTCTGTTTGATTTTGATTGAATCGAGAATTTACCACTGTGCCAGATTTTATAAGATAGTAGGACAACTTCCCCCAGACTAGAAATAGTATCCTTAGATTCCTCTTGTATTTATTAGAAAGTTGTAACTTCGGTTACACTTTACAACTTCGATTATATTATTCTTAATTTTTTTTTCTTAGCAAATGCTACAATAAAACATGAGAATCATTTATCATTATTATTGTATGTTGAAATAAATCTGGAATCCGCTTAAGTGGATTTTTTAAATTAAATATAATAAAGAATCCTGTAAAACTTGGTGTGATGTTATCAATACACCATAAACACATAAAGCGAGAAATTGAAGTTTTTGTAAATTACCAATAAAATCTAAGAGTTGTAAGGAAAACTCGATATATGAAATTTCGAGATATATAATGTTTGGGCAGAGTGACCTAAGTGTTTCTAGCAATAACGGTTGTTCTAAAATCATTTTAGTTGTTGATCTAGGACAACGTTTTGTAGATCGGAGCCTTAATCACTATGCCTTTAAATTTTGGATTGTTTTGAAGTTCGTGAATACTATATATAAAAAAAAAAGATCTATACAAGCCTTGGATAAGCTTTAAAAACATAGAATGCTGCCAATTTTTAACTACAATATTATGAATTGCAAATGTTCAAAATTTTTATCGCTGTTTTTAATTTACTTGGAATTGATCGAATCTCATAGGTTAATTGTATATTTTGTGGAACTCATTTAAATATGAGTGCCGCCAAGAGAAAACCTGCAAATCTTATCTAGTAAGATTTACGGGTTTTCTCTTGGCGGCACTCATATAACATCTAAAAATATAATGAATTAGATGATTAACTTATATTGTAATCAGGGATTCACAATTTTTTGTTCATATCACAAATCGATCAATTCCAAGTAATCGAAAACAGCGATAATAAAAATATACCTCATTGTAGATATGTAATTAATAACTTTTTACATCACTATTTTATTTTACTTAATAAAATGTATTTATATATTACAATTAAAATTTGGATTGAGATTTTAGATTCGGGAACTTAGAAGATTTGGGGTGGGATTTGGGACGTGGAATGGGATTTGGGATTTGGGATTTGAGATGGGATTTGGGATTTGGGACATGAGATGGGATTTGGGATTTGGGACACATGATGGGATTTGGGATTTGAGATAGGATTTGGAATGGAATTTGGGATTTGGGATGAAGTTTGGGATTTAACTAAAGTTTGGGATTATGGCATCCCAAATAAGGTTTTTCCAAAATGAGATTTGGGATTTTTCCATTTGGGATTTGGGTTTGGGTGGGATTTTAAAAGTTTGTGGTTTGGGCAATATGTATAAACGTAACGCAGTTTACATATAGAAATTAGAGTTTTTGGAATGTGAGCTGCTTCTATCTAAAACTTTTTTCGTACTAAGTTAATCACCTTTGGGCCTCTAATTGAAGTTGTAGATCTCATCGAGACGAATCCAATAGTGGTTTAATTGTCAAAATTAGCTTGGTGGATCATGAGATATCTTCGAAAAACGTTTCGCAAACTATGTAAAATTCTCTCTTTATCGCCAAGAGAATTTTACATAGTTGGCGAAACGTTTTTCAAAGATATCTCCCGATCTACCAAGCCGATTTTGATGATTCAATCACCATTAGATTCGTCTCGATGAGCTCTACAACTTCAATTAGAGCCTCAAAGATGATTAACTTAGTACAAAAAAAGCTTTAGATAGAAGCAGCTCACATTCCAAAAACCCTAATTTCTATATGTAAACCGTATCACATTACACTATGAGCTCTCTCTGGTTGAGTGGTGAATCACCAATTAATATATTATAATCTAATTGTATAATTTAATTAAATTATAGTATATATATTTTTTTTTATTTTAGCAATCTTACTTTTATTTTTTAAATTAACAGTATATTATAGTGAGAATTCAGTTAGCTAAATCTACTATTTAACTATTAAATACTATATGTCTGTACAAACAAAAATTCTCTTGATTTGTCTTATTATTACAGTAAAATTTTAGCAAGCTAAAATTCTACACTAGAGTATAACCTAAGAGCAACATGCCTAAATAAACAATTTTTCTCTTCTGGGATTCTCAACTTTTTGAGAATATAAGCCCCAGATATCAACAGATAGCTTTTACTAGTTTACAACTCTTTATTAAATCTATCTCAAATCTTAGAATATCTAATTTTAAAGTTTCAATCATATGATCATCAATTCTAATATCTCCTTTGCTTAACCAGATTTTGACTATAAACGGTTTTGTCTTTTATAGTTCTTTACTTTAGACATGCTTCTTAATATTCTAGATTAACAAGATTGGTATTTTTGATCACTATCTTTGAAATTTACTTTTTTATTATATTCCAAATAGAGGTTACTTGATAACTATGCTTAATCCAAATACTGTATAATATATGCTACTTATATCTTTCAATTCAAAGATCTATTAAAACTTTCTCTTTACATATAATTTGTTTTGTTTCCTAATCATTATATCAAAACTCATGACTTTTTGAAAATAAAAATAGTAAACAATGCTAATTTTTTGAAAATAGTAAACCAAATCTTTATTTTTTATCAAAAATTATGAAAAAAAGAAAATAGCAAGAGAGTATTATAGTTTTGTGAGTTTTAATCAGAGAGTATTGTTCCAAGAGTTCTTTATAGGCTTCACTTTTACTTTAGCAACTTGTTTTTTTCTATCTATTAGTCTTTTTCTTATTTAATTATCTAGTCTTACTTCTAC